TCGATGCGCTTGCTCTTTGTTGCATTTCGAGCACTCAGTGGGATCCGAATGGCTGCAGTTCGGTTGCCCTATAGGGAGAACAAGTGGAAAAGACGAATTAAGATACACACATGAGGAGAAAGCGGAGGGCAGGGTTCCAAATACCACATGCACATACTGACTTTCTCTATTCACGACTAGTTTTACTTTGCTTCTGTCTTTTATGAGACAAATCGAAATGTTGACACTTGAGGAGTACAGCCAATCGTATGCTTAGTGCTCATACTAGCGAGCGCCCCGAGCCTTTGATAGCTAAAGGGGAAAGGCCGCAAGATCTTGTTTTGGGCTGCGTCAATTTCGTTTTTCTCCAACCTGTTAGCCGACTTACTTGGGAGTAAGAGAGGCAACAGGGGGCCTCGAAGCCGGGTACTAGACGTTTATAGGAGTTTGTGGTTGGGTTGGTGAGTGCCAGGAGTGCAGGAGCATGAGTCAGAATGCCAGCAATGGCGAACAACGCCCTCTGAGATAGTTGTGCGTATTCTCCGTTTTCATCAAAGAAGGTGTTTCGGCCACCCAGCCAGAAAGACATATGCAGGTGCATTCCGGAACCCGAGGTCAGGGGCATTGGCTTGGGCAAGAAAGTGGCAGTGACGCCGTTGGCATGAGCAACATTCTTCACGACGTACTTATAAGTCAGACACCAGTCTGCAGCCTGACGTAGAGTGCTGTAACGGATCCCCAGCTCGTGCTGGCACACTCCCACTTCGTGGTGATGCTTCTCAACTGGCAGACCCACAGCCTCCATGTGCCTCAGCATTGACGCACGCACTGTGTGCCTGCGGTCTTCAGGGGGCACACAGCAGTACCCCCGCCCAGCCACACTCCTGTGCGCCAGATTTCCCCTTCCATCGCAGACGGCTACAGAACAAGCAGCAGGAATAGCAGCGCGGAACAAAAAGCGAAACGAAATTGCACTGAGACGAAACCTACAATTGCTCAAGGAACACTCGACTCTGGGTGACAGTCAAATTTCTGCACGCGCGTCGAAATCGGGCTGCCAGTACACGCCTGTATCAGATCAGGCGTGTGCTCGCTTCCAGCAAAAACTGACAGCCCAGATCACCGACTGATCACTGCTGCAGCATGTCTACCTCAGTGAACACTGCTCACCATCAGAATTCCAGTAAGCCTCTTGCTTGCAATCCACTGAAAAGCCAACACGGTGCCCTTGCACGGAGTACTGAACATTCTCGAAAATGAAAAACTCCGCTTCAAAACCCACAAAAATCTGCGTGACAAAGCAGACAAATGAACACTAATCAAGAAAGATACACAACGCCACTGTTAAATGCCACAGTGGACGGTCTGACAGAAAAAAGCAAACTGTTCGTCTATGCCAGCTTTTCGCCCTCTCTCCCGCTGCTCGCTGCACCCAAATAAGACCAAGTCACCATTGCTCGCATGTGCTTGCCTTGTCTGCTAGTCCTTGTTCCTTTATCCACTCCTCGCACCGGTCTGCTATGGTGCGAGGGCATCGGGAACAGGGTTCTCCCTCTGCAGTGAGCACCCAGCACGTCATGTGCAGCACTCCATCACCAAGAAACGGATCCATGAAACACGAACTGGGGTCTGAGAACAAACACAGCACATGATGGCATGGCTAAC